CCACCCAAATGTTCACGCAAAGAAAGAAGGCGTAACTTTTATTCTCGCTGTAGTATTGTTGCCGCCGCCATGACGTGAAGGTGCTGTGTGTTTCTTTGTGAAAGCGAAACTACTTTGTTTGGCCTTCCAAAAGAGGACAATATCCGCTTCGTTCATGCCTGGAGCTGATCCGTGCCGGATCGGCTTTCACCGTGGACAGAGTCCAGCCCGGGGTCGCCACATGTGGTTACCGCTCACTCTAGCCCGCCGTGTATGATGCTGTGTTTCGTTGTGAAAGCGAAACTACTTTGTTTGGCCTTCCAAATTTCTTGCTGGATGAAGGACCATGACCTTCAACTCAACTTGGCTAAGATAGAACTGCTTGTGGTTCCATCAAACCCATCGTTTCATCACAATTTCACCATCCAGTTAGGCACATCAACATAACTCCTTTAAAAGCAGCCTGAAACCTGTGTGAAGAGGAACCAAAGAGGCACAAAATCACTTTCTCTTACTTTTATCTTTACTGTTCCCTCCTGGTGGAATGACCTGCCCAACTTAATCCAAGCAGCTGAGTCCTTAGCCATCTTCAAGAAATGGCTAAAACACGTCTCTCTTCCATCTACACTTGACCCTCTTACACTAGCACTCTCTATTCTATTTACTTGTATTATTTTTATTGATTTAAAAACCAAAAACAACAACAAAAACCTTGACCCTTTAACACTAGCATTCTCTGTTCTTTTTCTATTCTATCTACATAATGTATCTACATAATTATCTTTTTAATTATTATTTAAAAAATAGTATAAAGTCTATTCTAACTCTTTTCTATTTACTTTTAATTTATTATAAAAAAAACTGCTGCTCCTGAAGTATTGATAAATCGATACAGACGCGAGTATTGAAAGTATCGATACTCAAACAAAAAATATCGATACTAAGGTGTATTTTAATTTACAAGTGGTTTTGTTTATTTAACAAAAAAATTAATGTGTACAATGCGCATTTAATTGGACGAATAACCTATGTTAGTGAATAATTGTGTAGGATAGAACTATTTTCCTGCTCATCTGAACACACGCAAATGTTGCAAGACAGAACCAATCACAGAGAGCGTTCACTCACTTCTGACAGTGCATTCAAACAGGGCTGCTTTTCCCAAAAGTATCATAAGAAAGCATTGATGTTTTTGGAAACGGCAGCCCAGAACAATGCTTATCAGGACAGAAAAAAACTTATATGTTTGAGTTATTTCACAATAAATAAATTGAAATCGTAGCCTATATAGTTTGGTGCAGTTACATGTATTTAAATTGAACGTAAAAGATAATATTGATCATGTTCTATTCTGTAATGTTAATATAAATCATACACTGTCAGAATAAAAAGGTTGCATTTTATGCATGCAACAGCCTGTCACTGGCAGTCCCTTATGAACCATTGTTTTATTAAAGTGACCGTAGTTCAACTATAGTATTTGTAGCTTTCCATGATTACCACTACAGTAAACATATTTGAACCATGTGTAAATAAAAATATAACCTAATAAGTTACAATTAAGACATATTGAATGTTAAAATGTGTTTCAAATATAAAGTGGGTATCATTACCCATTTTACTCTTAGTAATTTAATAATGTCATAGATTTCATAATTTAAAAGTTCAGTTTAGAAGCATCGTATTGGTATCGATATCAACGATACTGGCATTTAAAAGTATCTGTATCATATCGAAAACAAAATAAGTGGTATCGCCCATCCCTAGCTCCATGTACTGTGTTAGACTGACGGGGACTTATCACAGCACTTATATTGCTTTTTTGTTGGTTTTGATTGCTTCAATCGTCCTCATTTTTAAGCCTCTTTGGATAAAAGCATCTGCTAAATGATTCAATGTAAAAGTAAAATGTCATTATGATTGTGGTTTCAATTTCTTCATGTGTGTGTGGATACCTATGTATGTAAATACTTTATTTTTGTAAAGATCTGTTTGTTGATTATGTGCGTACACTTGATATATGGCTAAATTCTTTTATTTCTAAACTTTAATGATTCATATACATGCTTGACATACTCTGTATTACAGTATAATTATGTACGGAGTATGTTTTTATAATGTATAAATTTTGAATTTAGCTTGTTTAATTTTATTTATGTATTATAATTTTTTTAGGTTGGGGGTATTGGGTGGAGTGGGACATTTTTTTTTCACTATTCTCCTGTATTATCGTAAAAGTTCAATAAACAAACAAACAAACAAACAAACAACACACGCCAATAACACACATGCACTCAAACACAACAAAACACACACACTCACACATCTCAAAAACAAAAACTCATACACAAACCAGCGATTTACATTAACCCACGTTTCTAAAACAGACTCATTCGTTTGTCGTGATTCAGAACAATACACAAACTCATGTTTACAGTACATTCAATTACATTGATATAGAAGCTTGTTTCCACCACTGATTTTAAAAAAAATAGCTTTTTAGAGTTTATATCTTACAATTTTGGATTTTTTTTCCTCAGAATTGTGAATTAGAGAGTTTTTTATTCTGTGGTGGAAACAAGCTGCCATACATTTATGTTAAAGATACAACAATAATCTATTCTTCTTTCTCATTAGAAAAACTGGCAAAAAAAAGGTTTGCAGGCAAGAACTCACTATTACTTGCTCTTATCTTTGGGTCTGGAAACCCTAATAAAGCCGCTGCAGACGGCGTTTCCAGCATGGACTGTGGTATCAAATCATGGCTTTGTAGAGGAGATTCGTGCTTTTGTACGTCTCTAAGAAGTCAAATTAGGATGTAGGATTATCTACTGTATTCATCCATTCTCTTGCGTGCTACTGTTCTCCCCGTAAGTGTCTTTCCACAAAATCCCCACAGGAGGATTATGAAGTGAGAGAAACAGACCGAAAGGGTCTGTGGAGGAAGATCTGATGATGACTGCAGAGAGGCACAAAGAATAAGAGCAAACAGCAGAGAATGAGAGAGGAAGAGAATTGAGGGATGAATCAATCCTCAGACCGATGAAATCAAACACAGAGAGAGACACATGATGATGAAGTCATGATAGAGAGAGGAGAGATGGTCAGTGTGTGAAAATGAGATAATAAACTGGCTATGTGACAAATGGAAATTCAACTTTTCCGGTCCATCAAGAGCTTTCACTGACACCATGCTGCAAACATGAATTGTTCTGAGTGTCTTGACATTTCACAGACGAGTGAATCAACACATGAGGCCGGTCAATCACAGGGAGAAAACAGAGGACATGAAGTCATAATTCAGATGAGTGTGTTGAGAACTACTGGACTCACAGCAAACCTGAAACTCACTTATGAAAATGAGAATTACAATAACCTTTTTTGCATTACAATGAGAGTTTGGAAATGTGCATGTAGTATCAAAATGCAATGGACATAAAACTAGGTTTTCTTTTGATTTTAGGAGGAATGTGAGCTAGACATGCTTTCATGAGATTCAACATCAAAAACAAAAAAACAAAAAAAACAGTCAACTTCATCATGCAGCTGAACATGCTCATGCAACAACCCAAAAACTTTTGTTCTCCTCACAGCTTTAACCGGACATCCAACTGCATTTCCCGAGAAATGACAGATGAAATCACCAAATATGGTTGCTAAACTCCACAAAAAAAAAAAACAAGCTGGCAAAATGAATCCACATGAGCAAAAGCAGCAAACCCGTGACAGCTTTCAACCCTGATCTCCTTCATCTCTCAACTGGACAAACTGAGAGCAAAGAAAGGCTGCTTCCCAGAAACAGACTCCAGTGTTGTCTCTTCTAGAGTTTCTGCTCAGATTTGCTGTCAGAGATCTCAGTAACTCCAGCATGTCTCTTCCCAAACCAAATGATTCACAGCTCTGCATAATTACTGCATGTAAACATTTGTGTCTAGTTTAATTTCTCTAAGGAATTTGATCAGAAACATCACAACTCTGAGGCAAACATTACATTTAAATGAGAGCTATAAAAGAGCAAGATCAATGAAGCTTTCCTCTGGGTCATCATCAGACTCGACTCACTCACACACACACGCACGCACGCACGCGCACGCGCACACACACACACACACTCACACTAACACTCACACACATGCGCGCTCTGACACAGTGAAGTTTCCATTCGGTTGACGGGAAGCTTTGACACTGTGTCTTCTCTAGAGTTTGCATGAGAAAAGAGAGTCGCTGACCGCTGGCGCTGAATCCTCGCATCGTGTGCGGCTCTCAGACTTCATCTGCTGGAGTGAAATCAGTCGTTTTCCCCGTCATTTGTCCTGGTTTGTCCATCCATCTCTCGTCTGGTTTTCTGCAACAGCTGTATTTCTCACACACCGACCGACTGAACTTTTAGTGTCCGATCAGCAAATTAATCATTCTTTTGAGTCGATTCTCTTTGATGATTCAGTGGAACGGATGGAAGAATATTGCGAATAAATGATATAAATATATTGAATTATCTATTTATTCATTGCACTAACAATAATGAATTGATACTTTATAATTAATTATTTTAATTGTGTCAGAGTCATGGGGTTTGTTGTGTGTATTTCGTGGGATGCCCTCAGGAGCCTCATGAGCATCATATGACACACTGCAGGGAAAAGGAGTCTTTGTGTTTCTCTCTCACACACTGAGACGAAGTCATTTGTGTTTTACACAAATTTCTGTCGTTTTACAGAAATACAAGTGAACAAAGAACAATAACGACTGTTTGGTTGCCAAATGTAGCCTATTCAAAATGAATGAGAAGAGATGAAAATTAAAAGTTTAATGTGAACTGCATTGTGAAAAAGGCTTTAAATGAAAGGAGTTTCTATGATGAATTTGTAAGCTGTTGATTGGATTTCAGCTTAAATTTGTGATAAAAAAAATCATTTATTCTGTGGAACAGAAAATAAGATATTGTGAGAAATCTAAGTTTTTGTCTAGGCTATACAAAACTGGTTAGCAACATTCGTTAATATCTTCCTTTGTGTACCTCAGAAAAAAAAAGTCATACATATGTGGAACGACGTGAGGGTGAATAAATCATTTCACGAGTTTGTGTGCCCATATAATCTTAGCATTAGTGGTAAACAGATTTGGCTTGATGTCTGCAATGGAGGGCTCAGAGAGACTATTCTACTCGAGCTCTGATAGCGCCCCTCTATAGACAGAAAGATAAATAAATATGCATAAAATGAGGAGGAGGGATGCCGAAAGAGCTAACAACGGAAGTGGTAAGAGGCTGTCTTTTATACTTGGATATTAATTGGAAGATTAGATGGGCATACTCCTCCCGAAATTGTTGGGAAGTGTTGGGAAGGTTCTTGGAAATGTAATAGGTTACAGATTACAAGTTACCCTAAGTATAGTGTAACTATTTCAAATACTTTATTAAAGTAATGCAACTGATTACATTTGATTACTTATGTTTAATCCTTTTCAAGCATTTGAAGCAGGCAGGGTTAACCTTTCAGCAGGGGCGCAACTGCATATTTCCCAAGGGGTATGTGTAACCCCTCTCTCCCGGGTCCTCACCGCCACACCTCATTCTTGTTCCGAGTGGGTCTCAAACCCGGGTCTCCGGCATGGGAGGCGGACACACTAACAAGGAGGCTAAAGACGGCAGCCTCTAGCGTCAGGAGCGTCACCTGCACAGCACCTACTCGCTGGCCTCCGTTACACTCACCCCCCTAAAACTCACTCCCATCCGGGTCACGGCACCATTGTAACCCCACTTTTCTGGTTCTTTCTTTCGACACTTCCGGAAAGGACAACACAGAGACGTAGGCTGAGCTCACTCATCACGTCTACTGTAATATATGAAATGACACCAAACAGACATGAAATACAGCTCATCCGGTCTCATAACATTCTCCTCAACGGCTTTCATGCATAAATGATTGTTATTTTAAAAGTATTTTATTTCATATTTGAGTCATAAGAGATATAGAGTTGACGGATAATTTATGTTTTATACCAAACTCACTGTTGAGTGCATTAGGAGCACATGGTATTCGTTGTGTTTCTGTCTCTGTATTTTCTCGATGCTTATTTTCACATGTATATTTATTTTTGACAGTTATGAGACCGGATGAGCTGTATTTCATGTCTGTTTGGTGTCATTTCATATATTCCAGTAAATGCGATGAGTGAGCTCAGCCTACGTCTCCATGTTGTCCTTTCCAGAAGGGTCGAAAGAAAGAACATTGAACACAGAAAGTGGGGTTACATATGCAAGATCAGTGTCGGCGCCCCCTGTATTCTAGTAGCCTCTAACGCTAACTCCCGCAGAAAACTTTCTGTAAGTCAATGACAAAAAGCCCATTAACTAACTTGTGCATGGAAGGATACAAACTCATCAGGAGTGAAAAAGTGACAAAGGTTTGAACCCCCTTCCCCCATTTTTAATACCATAGGGAAAAAAGTGAAAAGTAAAAACAAGAAAAAAAAAGAAAAGAAAAGTGTGTCACCATAACCTTTAACTCCTGATGGCAGACCCCAGACAGTAGAACACATTTTTTAAATTCATTTTTATTTTCAAACACATGTAATATTGCTCTCTAGTTGTAATTTTATGTGTATAAATTCAATATATATATATATTATTAATTTGCCTCAAAGTTATTCATATTTTTGCACATTTTTATATAAAATGAGAACACCGTAAGTAAAATTTACTTTAAAGAACATCTGCATTTTTTCATTTTTACTTATAGAGATAACTCATCGAAAATTTGCCATGCTAAGTGGACGATTTCTGCCAAGATTTTTACCTGGTAGAAAAACAAATTCTATTAAAATGAATGTCATGATTCCCACTTTGACCACTAGATGGCAGCAGAGGATCATTTATTGTCTCCGTTACCATTTCCACTCTGGAATATAGTTCTTTTCACGTTTTGCTAATGGATTTATATTTAGACATTATAAAATCACAATTATAGCATGTAAAAATCTCTTTATTGTCAAAGTTCAGCATTGTTTTGTATTGAAGTATTAAGTAGCAAGAGTTTTAAACTCATCAGATCTACTTGAATCACACAGATGGCCTATTTTGAATTCAAAACGGCAATTTTCAGTGAAAGGTGGCTAGTTTGTATCCTGGTTTACAATCTTCTCAGTTTCTCTCAAATGTAAAGCAAATGCCCATTCACAAACGTGTGTTTAGGCTTTCAGTAGTGCGCAACACTGATTACTGTCAGACTTACTGTAATGTGGGGTTTGGTGTTTGGGTTTTGTTTCATGTTCATGTTTTCCATGTCTTTTATTTTGTAGTTTAGTCATGGTCCCTGTTAGTGTCATGCTTCCCTTGCCCTCTTGTCTTCTTGCTATTGGTTCCTCTGTTCATTGTGTCATGTTCTGATTGGTTGTCTTAGTCATGTGTCTTGTTTCCCATTGGTTTGTTCATGTCATGAGACCCTCCTTGTCTGCTATAACTAGCCATCATGTTGCCATTGTCTCTTGTCGTGTATTGATGTTGTAACCCGCTGTCGGTGAGTCTAGTCTGTTTATGCCTCGTCGAGTTTGTTCATGCCAAGTCAAGTGTGTTCAAGTCAAGTCTGTTCATGTCTAGTCTGTTCATGTCAAGTCAAGTCTGTTCATGTCTAGTCTGTTCATGTCTAGTCAAGTCTGTTCATGTCAAGTCAAGTCTCGGATTATTGTTTGGATGTTTGGATCACCTGTAAATAAACTGCACTTGGGTTCTTCACTTCAACTCGCCTTCAGTGGACTGAATTCGTTACACTTACTAAGTCCCTCATCACTTGATTTAAGATTGTAATAATTTAATTTTTAACCTACCTGCAAAGCTACAGTACTGTTAAAAGTTTTAAAAATGCCGTCAAATGAGGATGCTGTCAAAACTAATGCCATAAATTGTTTTTCTTTATCAATTAACTTCTATTATCTAAATTAGATCAACATTTGGTGTGAGCATCCTTTGTGTTTAAAGCAGCTTTTGCCCTCGGTGCAC